CTGTAGCCCAAGTGCTTCTCATTCTTGTTTTTGAAAATGCACATTTACTTCCTAGGCACCAACAGGAATCTACCAAGGACCCCGTGATTCTCAACGCCCTACTGCACGTGTGCAAAACGATGCATGATTCAGTAAAGTAAGTTATTTTCCTTTTCCTTCCATTTCTTTCCACAAGGGTGGATGTCATGATCACTTCTGAGTTCCAGGATAACCTAGGGAAGGACCAGAAAGGACTGGTCTTTTTCCAAGCACCAGTTCTTTTCAGGGCCCTCATTAATAAGGCTACCGTTTGTTTAGGAAAAAAAGAAAAAAGCCAGGAGAAAGTGGTGTTTTAAATGCAAACTGAAGGAATGTTCTGGCAAATGACTTCACAGTTTAACTCACAGAGAGCGAGAGAGGGCAAGGGACATTTTAAGACCGTTAAAAAGGATAAAGCAAGTGACACACTTGTGTGAGACGTGCTTTCAATTTAATGCCTTTGTTGGAAAAAGCTTAAGCACCGCTGGGAACAAGGCAGGATTGATGTGGGTCCTTTTGAGAAGCAGTCTTATTGATACTGAAAACAAATCTTACTCCTGTCCACATGAAATGAATTCTCCCTTGTAGGATGCTATTTTTATCGCTCTTTCTGCAGAAAGCTGATCTCCTGTTTAGTGACAATAGAGTGCCAGGAACACAGAAGCGCCATTCCTGCGTTCTGTCTCTATTATGGTCAGGCAGTGTTTCCACTTTGATAATGTCTGCTTCGTTGGGCACGAAGCAGTTGCGATTCAGCCCATGTTCTTTGATGCGAAGCCAGCAGGGCAGATGGGAGCTTTATCCCAATTTTACTGTAGTGCCTCGCACACATCCAGAAAACAGAAGAGATGTAGTCCTTTCCTGAATGATTTAACACCTACAATGTAAAACTGTTGGTTGAAAATTAAACAAATTATATCAATACAGTGTTTTTTGCTGAAACAGAGGACCTGGTCTAAAGGCGGGAGTGGTGATGGGGGAGGGGGTAAGGTCAGGGGTTGAACTATGAAAAGCAATTTTAGGAAAACTTCATGAGACAGTTGATGGCTGCTCTACCTATAATGTTCTCAGCTACCAATTCAGGCAAAGTTATTTTTTTTATAATAAATCCACCTGGGCCTTTAGTCCATTTGTAACTTTATAAAAACAACGGTCCCATCACCCTTTTGCTGTTAATTCCTTTATACAAATTTTTATAAATCTTAAAATCACATTTAAAACTTCTTTTGCAAAAGGTTGGATTAAAACTCACCTGGTGAAAACCATAAAACTTGCCATTTTGGAGGTTCTTAATATTTACAAAGTAGTAAAACATTTAAAGTCCAAAGTGACTTAAGAAATGAGGATTGGCAGAACTTTGAGTCCAAAAAAGGCTACGTTGTGGCTATGAGCTCTGATCCCAGCTGCTCCACTCACCAGGCGACCATGAAAACATCTGTTCCTGTGGTTTACTCACAAGAAGTAACTGTGTGGAGTACGCATGGGTGATCTCGAGATCTCTCCTTACTCCAGAGAGATTTCGCCAGTCCGGATTCTGCATCCAGCCCTGAATTTCAGCCATAATGTCATCCCCGTTATCCAGGGACGTGTTCAGTTCACCACGGCTCACTGGAAGTTCGCAAAGTTAACTTTCCCATATTTAACAATTGAATTAGTTGCCCGAGGTCAGTAGATGGTTAGGATCACTGGAGCTGACTCAAATGGCTTATGGTAATTCATCTTCTGGATCATGCTTTCTGACTTCCAACTGGTTCTTTGTGGAGCATGAATATTTTTGGCCAAGTATTATCAAGAAGGAACCCATTTCCTTGCTACACCTTTGCCAGCAATACACTTTTTCAGCCTACCTAGCGGAGTTGCTAGCTATTCCCCTATTCGTAGGGGCGTATGCTTTTCAGATGATGAAAAGTAGCATGTACGTTTAGGCTGTTGCATATTATCACATCTGAACTTTTCTGAAGATGTGGAGTTAATCTTCATGGGAGTTCTTTGGCAACATTGGGAACAAAATGTAGGTTTCCCACTCTCTTTGCTTCCTTAACTCTAGTAATTGAATTTAAATAAATGCGAAATCAATTTTTTTTTTTAAATTAATGACACCCAATTTGCAGAAACAAATGCATTTCCATGCCTGTAACCATAAATCCAATATTGAGTCTATTAAGATTTTTGCTGTAACTAATAACATGTGCAATAATAAAACAATTGCCCTAAGCCATCTGCTTTCTGAAATAATACTTTAGAGTTATTCCCAGTTCAGAAGCTCATCTTCTCCCAATTTTTTTGCTCGGTCTCTAGTCTTCCCTCCCTGCAATATATTGGAAAATGCTGGCTTTCTTGAGAACACACATTCAGTGCTTCTAACACTTGCAAATGCTATATAATTCTTAAATATTATTGTTAGCCTTAAAAAAAAACCAGCATTCTGTTGTCAACTAAAGATAAGGCTCCTTATGGCTGGTCTGAGCCATCAGTGATGGTTTGCAAATCAGAATGACTAGGTTCACTTAAAATGCTATGCCAAACCAAAGCAAGCAGTCACATTAGATTGTAGCGCAATGCGTGAATCCAATTGCTGGATTTTTCTAATCACTCTTTCATGGACATGTTTTCCACCTAGCCATCTTGTCCAACGATGCAACCCTAACCCAAAAGAATTGACAGAGAAGAGGCAGAAAAGTCAAGCATGGTTAGGTTACTCCTCCTCCTGCCCCCCATCCTGAACACGTGGCCCTACTGTTTAGGGGTGCTCAAAATCAGTCCCCAACCAGCCCCCACCCCTGGTAGCCTGCAGTCTTTCCTCCTCCTAAGGTAGTCTCTTCCAGTGTCAGCAATGGTCAGAGAAGAAGCTTCTTCCAGCATTCAGGGGGTTACTTTCCTCCACCTTTCCCACTCACAGTGCTTTGCAACACGTTGTCTTAACAGTATTCTGCATCTGAGGGGGAAGGCCAGGCAGCTTTCATGCTTTCCCAAACAGATGCTGGGTGACCTTGGTTGGGTTTATTACATGTAAGAAACTTTTCCCACTCTTTGACCAGGCAACTTTTCCCTCCAGCCACTAGCCCTTTGGGGAAAAAATAAAGCTGCAGTTACATGCCCACTTTCCTGGGATTCATTCTCACTTTAGGAGACTTCCCAAATAGACATGTAAGCAGTTACATGAACATTGTGTTTTTAACAACTGATGCTTCGAAATGTTCTTTTCTAGTGCACTGACTCTGGAAGACGAAAAGCGAACGTTGGCCTCTTTGATAAATGGATTTATAAGAATGGTGAGAATCTGTTTTGTTGTGTGGGGGGGTGCCTTCGAGTCAGTGTTGACTCTTGGCAACTACCTGGACAAGTCCCTGCAGTTTTCTTGTCAAGATTTCAGAAGTGGTTTGCCATTGCCTCCTTCCTAGGGCTGAGAGAGAGGGACTGGCCCAAGGTCACCCAGCTGGCTTTGTGCCTAAGGCAGGACTAGAACTCACAGTCTCCCGGTTTCTAGCCTAGTATCTTAACCACTACACCAAACTGGCTCTCCTGTTTTGTTGTACTGCCCTTTAAATCTTTATTTGGGCTCATACTGAGGGGAAAGGCCTGGTGGGAGTGATAGGCCCAGTCAGTCTTTGCTGTCTTAAATTCACCTTCCCCATCTTTAGACTGCACAGAATCCAACCCTCCGAACTGGAGGAAGAACATCTCCCCTGACTGCTTTTCTTGCTCTTGAACAGGAAAGATCTGTGGGAGGAGGTTCTACCTGGTCCTTCTTGGCTTGCAGGTGCCAAATGTTTGTTCTCCTTTGGAGTGTGAGAATGAGAAGGATTTTAATTTCTAAAATATTAATCCCCCCCCCCAACCTCATCTGGAGGAAGAAGCACCTTCTCTGCTGGTTGTCTTGGCCTTGAGCTGGGCAGTCATGGAGAAGGAGGTACCACACTGGTCTTTCTTGGCTGTGTAGGTGCCAAACAGTCATTATCATTTTCTCAACTTTGGAGCATGGGAAAGAGAGAATCCCTGTGCAAGATGGTATTTGCTGATGGCTCCATGTCAAGTAAAGTGGAAGATTAGCCACTCATCATGCCCGCTGATGCCAGTGCCACCCTAGCTATGGTGATCCAGTGGCTCACTCCCCCTTTTTTTTGCCTTCTACAGAGATCCCTGTTGCAAGACATAGTGATAGCTCCCAGCTTAGCTGGCTTTAAATTCATGGAAGGTTGCCCCTGTTCATTTGACAATAAGTTCTGATCCCTAAAAGGATGCTTAGGTGACCCATGGGGGGCGGGGGGGATTGGGGCTTTTCTGTTTAGTTTGTGAGGTTTTGGAAAGCATGCTGCCTAGCATGGGATCCTGAAGGAAATGGATCTTCTGGATGGATCCAGCAGAGCTGCTCTTTAGTTCCCATCACATCAAAAGAGTGAGGAATTTCCTAGACGTTAACTGGGAAGAAAAGACATTTTCTGGCCCTGCTGTGAGGCAGATACAGGCCCTTCTTTGCAACTGTTCCCCTAGAGACCGCGCTGCAAATAAAACGGAAAGAATGGGTAACCAGATGCCGCTGCTACATCTCACAAAACTGCTCGGTGAATCTCTTTAATCCCAGGTATCGTTTGGCCGGGACTTTGAGCAGCAGCTGAATTTTTACGTGGAAGCCAGATCCATGTTTTGCCATTTGGAACCTGTTCTCGTCCAGCTGATTCACGTAAGCGTAGTTTTCCGGGCAAATGAACGGCGAAGCTATTTTTTGCTGCTGCGCATTGTCATTCCTTACATTTCTCCGCAAGGCAAGGTCAGCTACCTAAACGTTTGAACAGGAGAGAAGGAACATTTCTGGGCGCTGTTTTATGTCCGACGTTAGCCGGCTGCTGTGACAAAAAGCCTGAAATCGGCACCCGCTGTCAGACGTTACCACTTTTGCTTCCCTTTCTGAATCAGCAGCACGGATAGGATCTTAGTCTGAATGTGGTCCCACCAATGCGTAACCGGAGCTGCTATTCCAGGGCAGTGAGCTGATGCCACCTTTTAAGAATGTCAGTTTTGCTTTGCTTTCTTTAAAGCAAGTTTCAAATCTTAACCCTACGTATTTGCAATGTCTAGGGATACGTCAGTAATTGTTTGGCAGGGAGAGAGGTTCAGAAGGAGTTCAGTTAGCTAGGAACTAGGAATTTGTCATCAGGGCTAGGCCAGGGTTTCTCAATTTTGGCAACGCTAAGATGCATGGACTTCAAAATCGATAGTTTTATGTATTTATATATATTTATGTTCTTAATGTTCTGTGTGAGTCACCCAGAGTTCCCCCATTGGGGGGAGATGGGCGGGGGAGAAATTTAATAAATAAATAAAAATAAATAAATAAAACTCCCAGAATTCCCCAGCCAACATGCTGAGCAATTTTTAAGCTACAATTCCTCTGCTCCTCCCCAACCCCACACCCAAACATACAGTTGGCCTCAAATCAGTTGGCCTTTAGAAAGGCATTTAAAAATGCGGGTTTCTCCTTGGGCACTAGGACCAGGATGTTTGGAGTCCCATCTGAAGGGGGACAGTAGTAGCGAATCCCTAGTCACCTATTAAGGGTTGTACATTAGATTATAATTGTGACTGGTTTATTGTCTTTTGGTTTATTGTAAGCCATCCAGAGTCACAGTGAGTTGGGCGGGCATATAAATGCTTCAAATAAATAAATTGAATATATATATATATATGAACCTCTCATATCCATTTTGGGGCTTGGGGATGGGAGGTTATTCTCTTATCAGAAATGCCCCCCCAAATCAGAAGCTCAGTTTCTGACCATTTTGAGAGAAGAAGCATACAAAAATTGTAGCATGTGCCATAAAATGAACTCATCATAATTTTAATTCCCCATCTTGTCCCCAGTTTCCATGGGGGTATCCATGGGAGAGCAAGAGATTCCAGCATACCACAACTTCATAATGCAAGTGATGCAATAATTCAGGGCAGTTGCATGTTGTAGCTGACCCAGACAACATAATTGCATCACTGGTGTGAGGATGACATGGCACAAATGACCTCATGGTACATGCAAAGTCCTTCTAATGGCTTCTAATGGATGCTCATGCCAGTTGTTCTCCTGAGTCAAGAAAAAACATAATATCCTCAGTCAACTAGTGTATGATACAATGCTACCTAGTTTCCATCCCTGCTCATCTACTGATATCCTCAGATTCCTAGAAAACGCTGAGCAGAGTCTACCCCTTTGACCCACCTTGGTAATGTCCCAGCATCATTTACGTTCAGTTCCCCGTGTGTGTCTGGCCTATCTTTGTGCAGGTTTTTGATCTTTTTCGTGCAGAGTTAATACTTGTCCACTTGCATATCATTGGAGTTCTACCTTCCTTCACCTCTGAATCTAATTCAACATCACACTAAGCTTGCTCTGTTCCTTGAACTGCTCTTGGTACTGTGTCGTTAAGTCTTTAAGTGACTGGGGTGCAGAGTTGTCCCCATTGGTAACATTATCTTCCAAAACAGAGCGTGAATCAGCTGGCGATGGAAACAAGAAAAGTGATGAAAGGGAATCATTCCAGAAAGACCGCGGCGTTTGTCAGGGTAGGTGCAGACATGGAACAATTGGTGGTTGAGACCTACCGCTAAATCTTGGCTTGATGACTCCTTGTAGGGGAAGAGATCTCAGTCTGATCTGCATCCTCTCTGATGATTGAATCTGCCTTTTAAAAGACCTGGGAAAACCTCCCCAATAGGCTTCTTGTTTAGCCAATCTTATATTTAGCCAATATTATATGTTACTTATATTTATTACATTAAATATGTTATTTATATTGCGCTACTGTATAGATAAAATGTACAAAAATAGTTTCCATTTCGAAGGTTGATATTAAAGTCTGAATCTAAAAAACCTGGATATGGTTGATCTTCAGAAGCTGTTCTTTCCTTATTTTAGGCTTGTGTTGCCTTCTGCTTTATTACAATTCCATCTCTGACCAGCATCTTTACTCGTCTCAATTTGTACTTGCACTCTGGACAAGTTGCTCTGGCTAATCAGTGCCTTTCACAAGGTAAATCTTCTGAGTGGTAAGCTGCCCAGTTTTCTAAGACATGCATCGTTGTTGTCAATGTTAATATTTTTACAGGGGGGGGGGGCTTTCTTGCCAGAGGCAAAACAGAAGAGGATGGCTTAGATTTTTAAAGTCTTCCCTATAAAGAGCTTGAGAAGGATGTTGACTCTGCTTCTCATGGCTTGGTTAGCTTTGGTGGAGAAATATTCCTTGGCAGAAGAGCGACATTTTAGACAGAGGCAATATGTGGGCAAAAAACAATTCAACAACAACAACAATAATAATATGCAGCAGTGGAAAACACGGAAATGGCATGAGCTAGTGTTTGGAATCACAAAGATCTAAGAGCAATGCATTATTTTTGTTTTCTTTTTAAAGAATGCACTGAACTGATGATTAAATGTGACTGCATTTTGGACAAGATGTTAAAAACAAAAGCCAAAACAGCGTCCCTTGCAAGGAGGCAGAGAGGAAAGAGAAACGGGCAATTCCTGAACTAAAGTACTTTCTTTTCTCTACTCCTCTGAATTTCCTGATTCAGTTGTCCAATCAGAAGCAGTACACAAACATGTTTGTTTATAACCGCCTATATTTTTTCTCACCCCTGCTGATTATTTTGAAAAAAGTTGCAAAACCAGAAAAAAAAAAAAAACAACCCTGCAAATATTACAGGAAGCACTGCAAAGGCAGTTGCTACCTTTATCTGTCTGAAGGGAGAGATTCAAAGGAGGGACAAAGCAGGCTTTGTTTTCTGCAGAAAGCAAGAGTCCAATCAGTGAGTTAACATTCTTGGGGGGAAAAAAAGGATTTCAGTTAAATATTAAAGAAATGACTAGTTCTCCCTCTTAGAATCATGTGTGTGATGTGGGATGACAGAGAGGGAGGAGGTTACAGTGGCACAGAATTCAGTGCATAATTTGGATGGTTCCTGGCATTTGCAAAGGAGAATTTGATCCTGCCCTATTCAGGGAGATAACCAATATTGTCAGCATTGCACGCTTACGAGCAAATTCCAGCTGTAAAGGCAAACAAGCTGATGTGGGACACTGACTAAGCCCTTTCCAGCAGAGCGGCGGGTTCCTTTGTTTAGACATCGTTTTGAGTGCATCATGAGAACAGAGGGGTTTAAAGTAAAGCTGACTGTACCATCCAAGCACATTCTAAAAACAATAGATTTAGTCAACGAGGTACACTCTGTATTTATTTGTAGACAAACCAGCATAAAGTCATGTTTTAGCTCCCGCCAGCTGTGACGGTTTTGTTGTTGTTTTTCCCTCCAGATAATTAATGGGTGTGTTTGTTTGCTCAGGATTTTCACTTGCCCCTCTTCACAGAAGGTTTGAATGACTAAAAATAATTCTAAGGGCAATAAAAATGATCTTTGGAAAGACTGGAAGTTCCTCGAAAAGTGGATTCTGGATGAGAGCCTCTCTTTTTGATGCCATCCAGTGGTGGTCTGGATTTTTGCAATCCGGTCCTGCTCACCTGGTTTTATATGCTTGTTTGGCATGAGTTCAGGAGAAATGTGGGACAAAATGTCTAAAACCATTTTTCAGTTCTGCTGCCTCCTTGCTTTGTTCTCTAACACCGTTTCTAAATGCTCTTGTCCCTAATATTAAAGTCTTCTCCACCAACCTTGGCACTTTCCAAATATGCAGACTTCCAGAATTCTAGCAGTGGCTATGCTGGCTAGGAAATGTTGGTACATCAAAGTTGGTACATCTGGAGGATATCCCCATTGGGGAACACCACTAACCCCATTTGTAGCAGCAAACTGTGCCACTACTATATCTTGTTAAATAGATTGGCTACTCTTGCTGCAAGTGCCTTTAAACATCACTGACAGTTAGATGTAGCTTTGCCAGGATCTGGCTGTCAATATATTTCAGTAGAAAGGTCTTCTCCAACGCTCCAGACATGTTGGACTTACTGGGTCATGAGAATCCAGCCGTTTGGTTTATTCAGCACATGGAAGTAAAAGAAAACCTGAGTTTGCAAAAAGGGTAAATCCAGCCAGAGTAATGTTGCCAAGAGAGAATGATCAATACTTTTGAAGCATGTTTCCTCTGAGTGATCAAGTGGTTCAAGAAGGGTTGTCAAGTGTCCAGCTCTTTATAGTCCATGTGGTGGGTCGTCCTGACATTTTGGTCTTCTTGGCTATTATATTGTTGCTGGGCTTGGTGGGTAATGGGGCACAAAGCCAGAACTATTTAGCAAATGCCTGTTTTATAGATGACTAATTTCACCAAGGGACTAACAAAAGTGGAAGTACCATGCTGGGGTGGGATTTGTCTTGCTCTGGTTTGATATTGAATTGAGATTCAGAGTTCAATAGCACACCATGCTCTCATTGAGCTAACATTTCTATTTTGCCCCCTCCCCAACCCCCAGTATTTGAAAGTGCAACAGGAGGACAAGATTGTCAGGATTTTTTTCCTAGTGACCTAGTTTTAGAGCTATTCAGAAGAAAGGAACAAAGGATCCTTTTCATCATTTTGTAATATTTGATCTCCTAGATTGAATATTCTGCATATCTAAGAAAAAGGTCCTCAGAAGAAATTACATCTCCTTCTTCACCTCCTTCCATTTCTCCAGATTTGATCAGATCCATTTTTAGTTCAGTTGGGATGCAGCTGGCCTTGGTCTCCCTTGTGGACAATCATGGTTTGATCCAGGCTTGTCCTCAACTGGAGTTATGTCAGTTTCCATCATGTTGGATCTAAACAGGTACTGTGGCTTATGTAAAAGTGGAATCTTCCTGTGATGAAAAGGGAGGATGATCTTAATTACATACTTTTGCTTACAGTGACGCTGGAGTCAGAAGTCTCTGTTCAAAATAGCTAATTGTGTTGTTTGGCTTTAGTGATAACATGAGCACTGAGCTTTTAATGCAGGTTATTAACTCTGATGTACACAAATGTTTGTCCCTGATTGTTATTTTTTACCTAAAGTGAACTGAGGTAGGATAAGTGAACTGATGAAAGCTCCACTTAAAAAAAAGATGTATAATTTTAGAAGCTCAAAGTATTCCTGTTTATGGAATTAGATACTTAACACTGTGCAAATAGGATTTTTTTTCTGGTGGTAAAATTGAATTTGCCCTCTGATATGATTATAGTCTAGAACATGTATATTTTTAAAACCAGAATAACTGAAGATAAGACTGAAATTCATACATTCTGTGACCTTTGCCTTAATAGTCTTTAGGAAGAGGGAAAACCCTTATGTTCTGGGAAATGAGCTGTTGAAATTTAAGATATAAATAGTAGCCCAGTCCATTAATTTAATGAGCATAAGATGCTTCCATATCTCCTTTTCCATTTAGTTCATTATCATCTGACTCTTGGATTTCAGAAAGATCTTTCTCCATCTTAGCTGGTTCCAACACCTCCATGTGGAACAGATGCTCTTAGAGTTACAGCTTCTCCCTAAAACTGCCAGCGTTGGAAGCTATATTTTATGCAGCTTCCCACAGCTTGGTGTCCTCCTACTGCTGGATTGGCTTTTATTTCCTACCATTTTCATAATTCACTCATGTGGCAAGAGCATATAGGAAAGAAACCAAAACAGGCCTGTCAAGAAATGTGGAATGTGTCAGAATTTTCAAAGGAAACCCAAGTTTGCTGAAATTCAGGATCCTTCTCCTTCTGGAGACAGCCACAGTCAACACAAGTCATTAGCCCTGTGAACAATATCCTAGTCACAGAATATTGCATGTCTATTCAGAAAACAAAACAGGTCCCTTCCCTTAAATGTGGTCATCTGATGGGACTTTGGAGGCGCGCCTTCTCCGTAGTTGCCCCAACCCTTTGGAATGGCTTCCCACCTGAGATTTGAGGGACCCCCTACCCTTTTTAGCATTGGGCCAGGCTGGGGGTCGAGTCAGGAGGCAAATCATTTGGCTGGTCTGGCACCTGGTTGGGAAGGGTGGCTTTGTCTTTATCCTATTGTTTTATTAGTGGTTGTGAGCCACTACGTGAAAGAGGCAGCCATGTAAGCTCTTTAAATAAAATAAATAAAATTACAAATGAGAATGAGCTGACCTTCTTGAGCTTCTAACAGTATCCTGGGGAGAAGACCCAGCAGGCTGAAACCTTGAACAAAAGTTTGCCTCTCTGGATGTTCTGTAACAGTTTGTTGTAGTCTCTCCTTCGTGAATTTCCTACAGCTGCAAGGATCACTCAGAAGAAAACAAAGCCCACAGAGTGGAGGGTGCTGCATGTTCTCAGGCTTCTGATTGTAGCTCCCTTTTGAATGATAGGCGTATTGATCAATCTCAATTTGGTCTGCTAACGAGGCCCCAACTGTGATCTTTTTATAGCGGATGCCTTTTTCAGAGCGGCGATAAGTCTTGTTCCTGAGGTACCAAAGATGATCAGCATAGACGGGAAGCTGCGGCCTTCGGAAGCATATCTCTTAGAATTCCTCTGCAATTTCTTTTCAACTTTGTTAATCATTCCTGTAAGTGGAGAGGAAGTTTATGCTGATAAAGGGCCTAGTACTTGTTGTATAAGCAATATCCAGCTGTAGATTGGCCCACCTTCTCAGACCAGACGGTCTTCCTCCCCTCTAGCTGAAAGCATGGGAGAAAGAAAGGAAGAAGCAAACGGCTTTCAGATCAAACCAAACCTCTATTACAGCCATAAATCAGTCAGATAAAGATGAAACAATAAAAAATTCACTTTCTCTCTCGGAGAAGCTAAAAAAGAAAAGAAGCTAATACAGTTCTTCACATGCAAGGAGAGATAGATGGTGCGTATAGAGACGCAAAATCAGGCAACCCAAGCCCACAGCAGTTAGACAGAGGGAGTGATAAATAGAAATCTTGCTGTCTACCAGGGAATTTCTTAAGGACAAGCTGGATAAAAGTCATCCAGGATGCCTTAAAGGAACATATGGCTCATGGACTCTACTGAGCCATTCTCTCAAGGATACACACACACACACACATCCCTATATATATTGGTGTAGGGGAATATTTTTGGAACACCCCACCAGAGCAGCAGAAGGCAATGCATCCACCCCAGTGAAAGCAAAGAGGAACCACCTTTAATTGCTATATATAGGGTTCACATTTGAAAGCAAAAATACTTACTGGAATTCTTGTACTGCCCCCTTAACCTTTTTTCCTAATGCATGTTACTAATCAGGGCTCAGAGAGATTTGTTCCTTGGTCAGTTGTTTCCAGTCCTGATTGCTGCTAGAGAACTCTGACAAAGTTTTTAATGGCCCGGTTCACATATATAGCTAACCAGTAATGGATAACCTAAGATCCCACCTAAGTATTCCCTTATTTGCTTCCGTATAGATATTCACAAAAAATTAAGTCAAAATGCTATAGAAAATTGGCAGTGCAGTTTCCTGAAGTTGGAAGTACTTGAAAAACATCCCAGAAACCTTCAAATGAGCTTAAATGTAGTTTTTTTTTAAAAATTAAATGCAAGGGAAAAAATGTTGGGCTCTGCTAAAACATATGGCACAGTTCTTGTTGGTGAGGGGGGTCCCTTTGAGTCAGTGTTGACTCCTGGCGACTGTCTGGACAAGTCCCTGCAGTTTTCTTGGCAAGATTTCAGAAGTGGTTTGCCCTTGCCTTCTTTTTCCTAGGGCTGAGAGAGAGTGACTGGCCCAACGTCACCCAGATGGCTTCATGCCTAAGGCAGGACTAGAACTCAGTCCCCCAGTTCCTAGCCTGATGCCTTAGCCATCTAGTGCCTTTGTAATATTCACTGCCCTCTAAACCTCCAAAAATGTTGAGTGCAGCCCTTACCATCAGGAGGTTATATGCTCCAATGTCAAGCCATCATACAATTTGTTTGGATCTGAGTATGTTGTATGACCCTTGCCATTATGGCTCAGCGTTGTATATGAACCAGGCCACTGTGTGTTGTTCTGTGTTGGACCAAGTAAAGGCTGATTACTCCATTGGAGTGATGATCAGCAAGCTAAACTCACAAGTTTCAGGATGGGATTCAAACAGATGACAGGCTAGAAAAAATATGCTTGGCAAGACTGAGAGAAGTAGAAGGGGAAGGCAATGGGTAAAATGGGTAGTATTAAAAAAAAATACTCAGGATGTCCTTGGAAGAACTATATGCTGTTACTGGAGAAAGTTCAAGAGGGCAAGTGTATGTCTATTCAGACCCTGAGTCAACCCAACATCTGACTAACATAACATATACCCATCTCCCTCAATGTTGCATTCTGAGGCTTAGTTTTGAGTCCTCTGATGTAAGTCCTTTAATACAACAGTGTCTGGGGAAAGAAGTCAGTCCCTTAATATGTTGTAGTATCCTTCATCTGTCTTTGTTCCCTAGGACCATCCTGAACAAGGTGTGCTGTTTCTCGTGCGAGGGTTGCTGAATGTTATCCAGGATTATACTTGGGAAGATAACAGTGATGACAAAATCAAAATTTACACCAATGTGGTGCATCTTCTCTCTGCAATGAGTCAGGAGACCTACATCTATCACATAGACAAAGGTGAGAAGGGAGACAAAGCAGGCAGATGGTGGGGGAAGTTAGCTCTTCTGCTAGGTTTATTTCAAATTTTTATTTCATTTTATATATGGTTAGCCTTCTAAGTTCTTATTTACCTCCCTCCCTGTATTTAATCTTGTTTCCTCAGTTGAATCTAATGATACCTTGTATGGTGGAGACACTAAATTTTTGGCAGAAACAAGCAGGCTGTGTGAAACAGTGATAAGCCAAATCTTAGAGCATCTGAAGAATCTTGGAAAAGATGAGGTGAGAAGGAGATTCACAGCATCAGTGAAATGGTTTGGAGCTTCATACTGAAAAATAGCTTTTTTTCCCTGCTTGCTTCTGTGCTTTTCCCTGTCTACCATACCCAATATGGTATCCTGATTTCTGTGTTGTTTAATCAGAATCTCTTATCTGTAGGGCTTGATTAAGCTGTGTT